AAGGATGTCAGCCACAGCACCGTGTCTTCCTTTGCAGATGACACCTGAATCTGCATGACAGTGTCTTCCATTGCAGACACTGCAAGGCTCCAGGTGGACATCAACCAAATCTTTCAGTGGGCTGCAGAAAACAATATGAAGTTCAACGATGAGAAATTTCAATTACTCAGATATGGTAAACATGAGGAAATTAAATCTTCATCAGAGTACAAAACAAATTCTGGCCACAAAATAGAGCGAAACACCAACGTCAAAGACCTGGGAGTGATTATGTCGGAGGATCTCACCTTCAAGACCATAACATTGTATCAATCGCATCTGCTAGAAAAATGACAGGATGGATAATGAGAACCTTCAAAACAAGGGAGGCCAAGCCCATGATGACACTCTTCAGGTCACTTGTTCTATCTAGGCTGGAATATTGCTGCACACTAACAGCACCTTTCAAGGCAGGTGAAATTGCCGACCTAGAAAATGTACAGAGAACTTTCACGGCGCGCATAACGGAGATAAAACACCTCAATTACTGGGAGCGCTTGAGGTTCCTAAACCTGTATTCCCTGGAACGCAGGAGGGAGAGATACATGATTATATACACCTGGAAAATCCTAGAGGGACTAGTACCGAACTTGCACACGAAAATCACTCACTACGAAAGCAAAAGACTTGGCAGACGATGCACCATCCCCCCAATGAAAAGCAGGGGTGTCACTAGCACGTTATGAGACCATACAATAAGTGTCAGGGGCCCGAGACTGTTCAACTGCCTCCCAGCACACATAAGGGGGATTACCAACAGACCCCTGGCAGTCTTCAAGCTGGCACTGGACAAGCACCTAAAGTCAGTTCCTGATCAGCCGGGCTGTGGCTCGTACGTTGGTTTGCGTGCAGCCAGCAGCAACAGCCTGGTTGATCAGGCTCTGATCCACCAGGAGGCCTGGTCACAGACCGGGCCGCGGGGGCGTTGACCCCCGGAACTCTCTCCAGGTAAACTCCAGGTATGTGTTTTGCTGTAGCTCTCCAAGCTTTAGGGCTGGATTTATATCTATCTAGATTATTCTATATATGAGGCAATCACTGGATAAACTCAGCATGCATCATCCCACCCCAAAATGCATTCTTATTTGAGAAAATGCATTACTGTTTAATTTGTTCCACTTTGCCTAGTGGTGATGAATTTGAAGGTAAATGTGGTTTGAGCAGAAAGTTCCAAGACAAAGGCAATACTCAGGGACTAAGGATTTGGCTCAGCTCTTACTACCTCTGTAATCATTTGACTACCGCCCACAGGATGGGTATGGGATGCATAATTAAGATGTTACACTTAACTTAGATGTAGACCAAACAAAATGTTAACTTTGCCAGATGGACAATTGTAACATCTTCAGCATCCCATACTCATCCTGTGGGCGGTAGTAAAAGGATTACAGAGGTACTAACACCTTGTGTCATTATGTACTGGAATGTGATAAAATTAATGAATTCCGAGACAACTCACTCAGAAATGTTCAAGAAATGTCAAAGTATTTTATCCACAGTGGTATTCTGGAAAAATACCTTGACTTTGCTCACTGCAAATAAAGCATTACCACTTTTCTTTTTTGCTTGTGTGTGACCAAATTCATATCTGCATAAATAACTCAATGCAACTGTGACCAGATATAAATATGTAAATAGTTCACTACCACTGTCACTTGTTCAGCTATAAAAACTTTGTGGCCCAGTCCCTGGACCTCTGTAATCTTTTGACTAAGATTCAAAGGATAAGTAAGGGGTGTATAATCGATATTAAATTAACTCTTAGTCAATGGAAGCATGGAATTTGCATACACCTTTGCCAGCAGCCACTTATTACCCAGTTTTTGAAAACTGGCACCCACTGAGCTTATTATTATAATCAAAACTAAGTGGTAAATCCACAAGGGTCATACAGCTTACTGAGCTTATATAAGCAGGGAGCACCTCATACCTAGCATGCAGTCATAAGTGTGGATGTTTTGTATGCAGAGCAGATTAACATTGTTGAATAACAAGTGCAAGTGTCATCTGAAATCTAATTGAGCGAATATTCCAAATATTTCTTTTTGTTTAGTTACAATGAGTTTCAGGAGATTTGCTGTTGCAGATCCCCAGATAATACAGTAAGTGAGGTAATGATAGATAAGAGGTATAGAGTGAGTAATAATGTTTTAAGGTACATAATGTATTTTAGAAACTATGGCCACTGTTTTGGAGACGACGTATGTGCTTACATGACTTGAAGTTTAAATTGCTGTCTGACCTTTTTGTGTTAACCTAGGTAACTTATACTATGTATGATAATTGTACTTACGTGTACCCATGCTTATATAAACTTCCTTACTTAAAAATTTCCCCTCATTTTGTCTTTTGATGTGTATTATTTACCTTTATGTACACTTACATATTTTCTAGTGTCATAAGTTCTGTCAACCTGTCAACACAATGATTCCACTGAAAATGTCACTTTCTGACTTTTTTGGATTATCCTAGGTTCTCTACACATATGCTGCTATGTATGATAATTTATGTAACTATTTCTTCTTCTTCTTCTTCTTTGTTTGGCTTATCAGGGCCACTGACAGCATCAGCCATATTGAGCCCGACTTCTCGATGGTACGAGGAAAAATTGTTGCCCAAGGCTGGGCGATGAGAGAAAAGAAACAAAGCTCCTTTGTAAACAGAAACAGAAACTTGAAGTTTCCAATTAGATCCGGTGGACACCCTTGCCAAGCCCCAGCAGAGAGATGCCCACACTTCCACCAGAGTTCAGTAACTGGCTTCCAACTAAAGACCGATAAAGAATTATCTGCAGAGCAGAAAAAAATGGAGCTGGCTAAAAGATGGAGCTGGCTAAAAGTAAGCCGATGAACAGGTGCCCCTCCTGTAGTGCCCGGCGGGCAAAATAGATGAGGACAAGTGTCCCAGTGAGAACGGGGGAAATTTGTCACTGATGCTCAGGCGAGAGAGAGACGTCCACAGCCGACGAAGGCTGGTGCAGAAATCCGTAACTGTATTTACTAGGTGTACCTGAACAGAACAGAGCAGAGGACTCAGGTAAGGACCCGCTGGGGGGCGAGGGGCAACTGGGGACAGTAGGAAGAAAATAGGTTGGGGAGAGGAAATATCTTAAGGAGGAGGAAAAGTGTCAGGACTAGACCCAACTGCTAATCAAGGGAAACATAAAATGCAGCAGTGTCACTCCTGGGAGCACATCTAAACCTACTCACAATACAAAACATCCATACTTATTACTGCACCTACTACATACATAGAACACTTAACTCTGACATAAACCCTCCCCTCAAACATCTACTTACCAACCTCAACAGAACATATGACCATAACACAAGGCACAGATCACTCTTTGATGTTCCTCGTGTCCATCTCACGCTATACCTGGAGTTTACCTGGAGAGAGTTTCGGGGGTCAACGCCCCCGCGGCCCGGTCTGTGACCAGGCCTCCTGGTGGATCAGCGCCTGATCAACCAGGCTGTTGCTGCTGGCTGCACGCAAACCAACGTACGAGCCAAAGCCCGGCTGATCAGGAACTGACTTTAGGTGCTTGTCCAGTGCCAGCTTGAAGACTGCCAGGGGTCTGTTGGTAATCCCCCTTATGTGTGCTGGGAGGCAGTTGAACAGTCTCGGGCCCCTGACACTTATTGTATGGTCTCTTAACGTGCTAGTGACACCCCTGCTTTTCATTGGGGGGATGGTGCATCGTCTGCCAAGTCTTTTGCTTTCGTAGTGAGTGATTTTCGTGTGCAAGTTCGGTACTAGTCCCTCTGGGATTTTCCAGGTGTATATAATCATGTATCTCTCCCTCCTGCGTTCCAGGGAATACAGTTTTAGAAACCTCAAGCGCTCCCAGTAATTGAGGTGTTTTATCTCCGTTATGCGCGCCGTGAAAAGTTCTCTGTACATTTTCTAGGTCGGCAATTTCACCTGCCTTGAAAGGTGCTGTTAGAGTGCAGCAATATTCCAGCCTAGATAGAACAAGTGACCTGAAGAGTGTCATCATGGGCTTGGCCTCCCTAGTTTTGAAGGTTCTCATTATCCATCCTGTCATTTTTCTAGCAGATGCGATTGATACAATGTTATGGTCCTTGAAGGTGAGATCTTCCGACATAATCACTCCCAGGTCTTTGACGTTGGTGTTTCGCTCTATTTTGTGGCCAGAATTTGTTTTGTACTCTGATGAAGATTTAATTTCCTCATGTTTACCATATCTGAGTAATTGAAATTTCTCATCGTTGAACTTCATATTGTTTTCTGCAGCCCACTGAAAGATTTGGTTGATGTCCGCCTGGATCCTTGCAGTGTCTCTGCAAGATTCTCTGTCATGCAGATTCGGGTGTCATCTGCAAAGGAAGACACGGTGCTGTGGCTGACATCCTTGTCTATGTCGGATATGAGGATGAGGAACAAGATGGGAGCTAGTACTGTGCTTTGTGGAACAGAGCTTTTCACCGTAGCTGCAAAAACGTAGATGCAAAAACTCAATGCACATAAAAGGCCCTATAATCTGGAATTCATTACCGGTGAATATAAAAAAAAACACTGTCTGTTTATAAATTCAAGTCTCTTCTCAAAAATCACTTACTCACCCACAACTAAATAAATACTGAATAAATGTATCTCATAAATTGTATCTCATATATGTATCTCATTATTGTATCTCATAAATGTCAACCTATGACCCAATCAAACTTTGTTACTATTTAACTTCATTACCTAACAGAATACTCCATTCTACTGATTACACAGCAACACAGTAAGATAAGATAATATAAGATAAATGACCATATGACCTGTCTTTGTAATACTCATTTGTACTAAATTCTTATCTGTTTTACAACAATTTTTGTACCACTGAATATATCATTGCTTAGTTAATCTTAAGTTAATTTTAAGCCTGCCCATAATGCTCTGCATACAAGGGGCTTTGGCATGTTGCACTTTAAAAATTGTATTCCTTGTACTTCTCTGTATCATGTTCAAATTAAATAAATAAATAAAGAAACAACAGGCTCTGGTTAACTGTATGTGCACCTGTAGGTGTCGTTGTTGGGGTTTATAGGGCCACTGACAGCATACGCCGTATCGAGCCCGGACTTCCAGTGCTCGGAGAAGGAACCTCGACCAAAATGGGAGTATGTTTGACTAATAACTGCGTACTATATGTCCCTGATGTGCCCTGAAGGCAGCAAGAATGAGCAGTACAGGCCAAGATCTCCTGACGCTCCGGAGGGTCAAACCCCTCCCCACTGAGAAGGAGAGATAAAGTTAAAAATTGCACCTCAAATGTGCTCAAGGCCGCACGGAGAATAATCCGTGCAGAGTGGTAATGTGGGCACCACAGTAGGAAGTATTCCAGTGTCTCAGGCTGTGAGGGACACCATAGGCAGTACGGAGAATCCATCATCCGAAGGCAGTGCAGATGAGCTGCCAGTTGTGAGTACCCAACCCGGAGGCGAGTCAGTGCAACATCCACTGAGCGATTGGGATGGTGAGCCCAAGGGCAGGGGTCATTGAAAGGTCGGACAGAGCTCAATGCCGAAGAAGAAAGGGAGCGTACTAGGTCCTCCTACCATAAACGGCGGATTTCTTTCCAAACGGTCCTTGTGAAATCACTGCGGCCCAGTGCAAGAGGGGTAATGGTAGGAAGTGTGTGTGCGAGGGAGGCCGCTCGATCCGCCACTTCACTGCCCCAAATGCCAACATGGGCAGGTACCCACTGAAGGGAGATGCTCCAACCTGGACTCCGCAAGAGACGCAGAAGAAGAAATTGTGTCTGTCGGACGAGGACGTGTAAGGACTGTGGACGGGCAGAGCACAAAAGTGCCAGGGAAGATTGGGACTCAGAGAAGAGAACCAAAGGCTGAAGGGGAAGGTGAGCAAGGACAAAAACCAGAGCCTGGTGAATGGCAAAGAGCTCTCTTGCTAGGACCAAGTGAGCAGGGTCTAAATGCCAGGTTTGACACAGAGATCAGTGAAGAAGGCCACAGAAAATGTAGAAAGGGGAAGGGAAGTCCGTGCTGAGCCGTCCTTGTAGATGGAGAATGAAGAACCATACGTGACAGAACAAAACTCTTCGAAGAGAGACGCAGCTAAATGAGGGGATTCCCTGTTCCTGGAGGGCCAATCCTGGAGGTGGATGTACCGTGTCAGGTCCATCCAGGGGGAGAGCGGAGAGTGGAGAGGGGAGGGAGTCATCACTGGTGCAGGGAGTGTGAGGCAGGTCAGGGAATGTTGAGCCCTGGCCACAAAGGAAAGCTGAACCGAACGTGGGGGAACAAAGGCTGCCTCCCACATCTGTGGAGAGAGGCGGCAGGGGTGAGTACAAGGCAGAGAGGCCATATAATGGAGTCATAAACAGTCCCTCGCCGTTCTCACCAACGAGAGGGGGGATATCCCAGACTCTGCTTCCAAGGCTGCAATGGGGGTGGAGGGGAACGCCCCAGCATACCTGGAGTTTACCTGGAGAGAGTTCCGGGGGTCAACGCCCCCGCGGCCCGGTCTGTGACCAGGCCTACTGGTGGATCAGAGCCTGATCAACCAGGCTGTTGCTGCTGGCTGCACGCAAACCAACGTACGAGCCACAGTCCGGCTGGTCAGGAACCGACTTTAGGTGCTTGTCCAGTGCCAGCTTGAAGACTGCCAGGGGTCTGTTGGTAATCCCCCTTATGTATCCTGGGAGGCAGTTGAACAGTCTCGGGCCCCTGACCCTTATTGTAATGGGTCTCTTAACGTGCTAGTGACACCCCTGCTTTCATTGGGGGGATGGCGCATCGTCTGCCAGTCTTTTGCTTTCGTAGTGAGTGATTTTCGTGTGCAAGTTCGGTACTAGACCCTCTTAGGATTTTCCAGGTGTAATATAATCATGTATCTCTCCCGCCTGCGTTCTCAGGGAATCCAGGAATTTAGGAACCTCAAGCGCTCCCAGTAATTGAGGTGTTTTATCTCCGTTATTGCACGCCGTGAAGTTTCTCTGGTAACATTTCTAGGTCAGCAATTTCACCTGCCTTGAAAGGTGCTGTTAGTGTGCAGCAATATTCCAGCCTAGATAGAACAAGTGACCTGAAGAGTGTCATCATGAGCTTGGCCTCCCTAGTTTTGAAGGTTCTCATTATCATCCTGTCATTTTTCAGGAGATGCGAATGAAACAATGTTTGTCCTTGAAAGGTGATATCCTCCGACCATGAATCACTCCCAGGTCTTTGAATTTTTTAGATAGATTTTCCACCGAAGTGGCTAGTTTATTGTGCACCCCATATCCATCCTGTGGACGGTAGCGCGAGAACATATGGATACACAAAAGGCCTAGGAACTAGGCCCCAAAGGGTTAACAGGATACAAAATGGAGTTATATCTACATATCTATAGTTCACTTATCTGTTACAAACAAATTAGGAAATTTGGCTTAGTATACTGGATCTTATTTCATTAATAAGATATCCATGACATGTCACATAGGTTATTAATACTGTCTGTCTCTGTATTCCTCAATAAGTATGGACAATTTAAGCACATAGTGTTCAGAGAATGACCATATGCCCTGATCACAAATTTACAATTATTTGATCATCATCTGTGTGTCTCCCAAACTGCCAGAAGTACTTAAACCAAGCCTAAGCCTGGCCACAACAACATCAGTCAGTCTATTTCACATTGCAAGTTGCTCCATAAACCATTATCTACGTTCATTGTTATCATAGTGGGTTTATAGATCCATCAGGCTTCTAACTGCATTCCTTAACAATCTTTTTCATTATTTAACTTCTCTCCTAAATTATTCCTAATGCTAGACCACAGTTATACCAAAGATATATTCTACATTTCTCCTCTCGATACTCTTCTTGGCTAACATATCAACTTTATCATGAAGGAGTAATCCAAAGTGTGATGGATCCATAGCAATTGTACATTAATTCCTTTGTCCAGTCTTTGACGTTGGTGTTTCGCTCCTATATGTGGCAGACTTTGATTTAGTATTCTGAGAGATTTAATTTCCTCGGGTTTACCATATCTGAGTAATTGAAATTAACTCATCGTTTAACTTCATATTGTTTTCTGCAGCCCACAGACAGATTTGGTTGATGTCCGCCTGGAGCCTTGCAGTGTCTGCAATGGAAGACACTTTCATGCAGATTCGGGTGTCATCTGCAAAGGAGACACGGTGCTGTGGCTGACATCCTTGTCTAATGTCGATATGAAGGATGAGGAACAAGATGGGAGCGAGTACTGTGCCTTGTGGAACAGAGCTATTCACCGTAGCTGCCTCGGACTTTACTCTGTTGAACGACTACTCTCTGTGTTCTGTTAGTGAGGAAAATATAGTCCATCGACCGACCTATTCCTGATATTCCTTTACACGCATTTGTGCGCTATTACGCATGGACACACTTGTCGAAGGCTTTTGCAAAGTCTGTATATATTACATCTGCATTCATTTTTGTCTTCTAGTGCATTTAGGACCTTGTCGTATGATCCATAAGTTTGAGACAGACAGGACGACCTGTTCTAACCCATGTTGCCCTGGTTGTGAATCTGAGGGTTTCTAGATGGGGGTGATCTTGCTTCTAAAGGACCCTTTTCAAAGATTTTATGAATGGAGACAGTTAGTGCTATTGTCTGTAGTTCTTTGCTGTTGCTTTAACTGTCCCCTTGTGGAGTGGGGCTATGTCTGTTGATTTTAGTAACTGTGGGACGACCCCCGTGTCCATGCTCCCTCACCACAAGGATGGAAAAGCCATGATAGAGGCTGTCTTGCAGTTCTTGATGAACACAGCGTTCCATGAGTCTGGCCCTGTTGCAGAGTGCATGGGCAATGTCATTTATCGCCTGTTCTGAAGTCATTTGGCTCAGGATAACATCGGAATAGGCATGTGTTAATTCAAATTTTTTGTTGTCTCTCTCATAAAAAATTCAATTTGGATCTCGACTCTCATCGGTAAGCGGCTTGCTAAACAACTGAGTCAAATCGGGACTTGAGTAGCTCACTCATTTCCTTGCTGTCATCTGTGTAGGACCCCATCTGTTTAAGTAGGGGCCCAATACTGGACGTTGGTTCTCGATTTTGATTTGGCATAGGAGAATAAATAGTTTGTTTCTTTCGATATCCATTTATGGCTTTTAGTTCTTCCCGCGATTCTGACTCCTAAAGGATTCATTTTAGCTTAAGCGATGCTTGCTATTTTCTCTGACCAGTGTCCCTCCCTACGCAATTTTTCAGATATATTGACCACTTTAAGCCGCTCTGTTATTCTTATTTTTCGTCGCCTGTAAGGGAGCACCTGTCTCTTCTATTTTACTCTACTCCTCCTTTTTCTTAGAGGAATAGCCTTGTGCATACATCGAGTGCCACGATTAAATCTATTCTAGCATAAGTTGGGGTCTGTGTTGCTTAGTATATCTTTCCCAGCTTATATCGGTTAGGAACTTGGTTTACTTGGTCCCACATTATGTTTTGTTATTGAAGTGAATTGTGAAATGCTCCTCGTGACTATTCTCATTATGTCGGTCTGGGGCTCCACTCATACATGTCTGAACCTCAATTATGTTTGATCTAGTATAATTGTTTTTGATATGGTGACAAATTCTTTATCAGATAATCATTTGTTAGTAAGAATGAGTCTATTGTATTCCTCCAGTCAGTAGGCTCTATTTTTTGCTGGTATAAATGAATTTGTGCAGAGGATATAAAAGCTCGTGTGGATGTGAGTTTTCATCAGAGCTGCCCTCCTGTTGTTATTAACTGGCAACAATATTTATTTGGCTATATTCTCCAATTTAGGTGCCTTAAGTTGAAATCCCCCAGAGCAAGATGTTGGGTGCAGGAGCTGGAAGATTTCCAACAGTGACATTTTTAACAGCTGTTTTCCTGGAATTTGCTGGTATGTTGCATCCGGAGGCTTTGTAACACCACAATGACTAGGTTTTGGTCTCGACCTTTACTGCTAAAACTTCCCACTACATCATTAGAGGCATTAAGCATCCTGTGCAAACAATGACTCTGCAATGTAAAGGCCAACCCCCCCCCCC